CCCTACACCCTACACCCTAAATCCTACACCCTTAACCATCAACCCTAAACCCTGAAAACCACACTTCGACTGGAGGCCAGTTTTCCAACCATCAAGAATTGAACTGTAGTATACATGGATATATACATACATACATACATACATACATACATACATACATACATACATAAATACACACATACACACATACACACATACATGCATGCATGCATGCATGCATGCATGCATGCATACATACATACATACATACAGACATAAATATACATGTATATCTGTGCATATATATATATATACACGCATAAAACTCCTGCTATACCATAATACGTGTTATGATATTGCCTGTAATATGTGATACTACAGTACAGTATCTGAAACTATACTGAAAGAAGGTATGTGCTACTTTAGTTCAGTATATATTTTTCTATTCGATGACATTGTATGTGTATGATGTGTTGCATTAGAGTATAATTGAAATGATACTTTGTTGTACGATAATATAGTGTGTAGACATAGATATATATGTATATATACATATACATCCATATAATATATATATATATATATGTTACAGAAATGTTAGGTTATGTTAGATTACATTGTAATATACTATACAGTATTATATTTTATAAGGTGATATTAAAGAACAACATAGGAAATTGTGCCTTGCTAAAGTATGCGACATTCGATGAAGCTCACATTCCTGGACATGTTGCAGGCATGCTTCACCCTTATGGCGCTTTCTCACATCACTTTTTTGATGGCCAAGACGGCATCACTGCTGCTGCTTGTCCGGCGCCCGCACATCGCCAGCGAGGTGGCCTTAGCGTGATGATTTGACATGGCTAGCGGGTGAGCAAAGCTTCGTGCCGATAAAGCCTCTGTGAGAAGTCCAGGAGTTCGAGGAATGCATGGTTTAAAGGACTAAGCCCCACGAAAGAAGCCTGTCAAGTCACTGGTCAGCCTTTTTAGCCTGGTGTACTGCAATGTAATGCAATGTAAACACCATTTCGTGATTATTGCAGTGTGCGAACGAAACTTTCAATGCTCGATCTAACGAGTGGAATCAGAATCTCAGTTTGAGCCTAATCCGTTTCTCACTCCAATGCAGGCTGGCGGTATGAACTGAAACAGGGCAGAATGCCATTCTGTGTCGTCCCGACATATTGGGGGAATTGGCGACTGGCCTTACCAACACCAAGCTTACTGTGCCACCACGGGAAGCCGTAAAGGAAACAGTGCAGCATATCGAAACAGAAAAGAGCTTAACATCTGAAAGCACGATTGCAATGACAGTGGGAGAAGGGTGTGGGAAGCACGGCAAGTGTAATCACAAGAACTATAATAAGAACTATCTAGCAGCAGTCAGAATGATTGTGAGTGTTCTGACTTTTGCCATCGTTGTCAATACCATTGTTGCTTTCTCTACCTGTTGATATTGCAACCACTACTGTCATTCCTGGCATCATTCTATTGTTTAGTTTGCACACACACACACACACACACCTATCTCTACCTACATCTATAAACCCCTGAACCCCTGAACCCCTAAACCCTGAACCCCGCAACCCCTAAACCCTCAACCCTTAAATCCCTAAACCCCTAAACCCCTAAACCCTAAACCTCTAAACCCCTAAACCCTAAACCTGTAAACCCCAAAACCCGAACCCGCCACGGCACCACCGCAGAGGAGCTCGAGCAGGTAAGCCAGCAGCGCGAAAGCAAGGCTCGGCGGCCTCGGCGTGTTGGGAGCAGATGATCAGCGGGCCTTTACTTGGTTTAGGTTTTAGGGTTTAGGGTTTAGGGTTTAGGGTTTAGGGTTTAGGGTTTAGGGTTTAGGGTTTAGGGTTTAGGGTTTAGGCCCAGGGGACTTAGTAAGTGGGTTATAAGTAATGTTACAATTGGGGTAACTCCATTTAGGTTACTTATAACTCCATTTATAACCTACTTACTAAGTCCCCTGGGCCTCTAAGTAAGGGGACCCTAAGAAAGAACCCTAAAGCCCTTTTAAAGGGGGCCCTATTGTAGAAATCTATAGCACCGTTCAGAGGTTGACGGTCTAGACTTCGGGGGGTTACCGCAGGGTTTCGGGTCGAAGAATTCCGGCTGAGCCTTTACGATACCTCGGCCTCGGAGTATATGACAAATGCCCGCAATAGAACATACTGCAGAGCAGCTTGCATGCTATGATGTGGGGCTCGAAACTGGGGTGAATGCACTAAATTTAAACGTGGGACGATAACGTAAAGCATCCCCCTTGCAGGACGAAGCGCTTAAATCTAGAAACCGCTGCCCTGGCTGCAGGCAGGCAGCAAATAGAGCAACACCGTCTCCTGTGAGCTGAAGGCCCCTACCGGAACGGGGGTGGGGAAGTCCCATGTCCGGGATGTCCAGATCCAAAAGCACGGTGTAGGGTTTGGTGTTCAGGGTTCAGGGTTTAGGGAAGCAAAACAGTTGGAGTCGTTGGCGTCGGAATGATCATCACCAGCAACGTCGGCAGCGGCAGCAGTAGCATCCCACATCCAACACCATGCGACCCTTGTGCTACCCATACTAACAGTTGCATCATGTGCCAAAGCATCACTATGATGGGGCCCCTTGCCTTCTGCATCGATGTCCGCCAGATCCCAAAAGCCTAAACCCTAATTTAGGGCCTTAATAATTAGAATAGGGTTTTGGGGGGGCTCCTTATTACAAGTATAGTACAATATACCCCAAACCCTATTGAAAATAATTGAGGCCCCTATATGAAACCCAAGGCTTTTGACCCACGATCCTGCCGTGGATAATTACAAAAAGGTTTAGGGTTTGGGGTTTAGGGAAATGCAGGGTCCTGCACGTAGCCTGCGCCCAGCTCTTGTGCGGCTTCCGCGCGCTCCTGGGCTCAGGTCGAGGACACAAGGCAGCATTCGAGAATTCCTGCATAGCCTGTCAGACAAGAGTTTCCAGCAAGTTAGGGGTTCAGGCTTTAGGGGGGTGTAAGGTAAGGCAGAGCCCGGACGTGAAGGGGCACGAAATGCAGCATGGATTTTGGTTGCTGATATCGAACTATACTCTATGCAAGCGTTGGCTTCCTCATCCCCAGTCTTTGAGGAACATCAAGCTACCCATAGGCCCCATAATAGTTCCTTTTTGGGGTTCATATTTTGAATAACTACTATGGGGCCTATGGGTACTTCCTACACAAGAAGATGTATTTATTTCAAGTGTGCGATACTCTATGGGGGACCCAGAGAGGCACCCCAGTATATGGCAAGCTACCCGATACTTACTTCCGCTAGTGTCTCCGTCCATGCATGCCGACGCCGATTGCCTGAGGCTGCCTGAGTCGATCAACAGCGAACCCTAAACCCTAGACCCTAAATCCGAAACCCTAGTAACCCAGCAAGAATGGGAGACTCCATCAAAAACGGGTCATAAGCCTCTAACCGGTAACTAGGCTGACATGCTATGTGGCCTTCTTGGGGTTATAGGGGGGTTGCTTTGGTTTCGTAGGAATAGGGGTTGTTGAAGAAGTTATGGGTTTGTGGAGGGGATGCATCTTGAGGCTTTTCAGGAGCACTCCGGACGGGGGGTGGGACACTCATCACAGCCAGGAGAGCAATCGTGGTTTGGGGGTTCAAGGTTCTGGAGCTTCGCAGTTGCCATGAATATGCGGATGCACCCGAACACTCTTCACAGCTGGAACTTCCGTGCCGTCACGAAATCAATTGGTACGACTGAAACCCTAATCACCAGCCAAAGCATCATTCCAGGAAGCGCTGGTCTTGGTGGAGGAGCCCACTATGCTTGAGCATACCTCCTGCTGCACTGCCGCCGGGATGTGGTCTCAAAACTCATGCCGCAAGACAAACCCAGAACCCTAAACCCCAAAGGGTTTTCGGAGTATAAAACGTCACTTCGGAAGCCCAACTGGGATCCTGGATCAGGCCTTGTACAGCCTGAACACCCAGCCCTAAACCCTAAACCGTAAGAAGTCAAGAGGCTAAGGTCAACCTCGGAAATCGAGCACACCAGCTCCTAAACCCCAACCTGTTTTCCCTAAACCCTGAACTCGAACCCCCTAAACCCTAAACCCTAAACTCTAATCCCCTAATCCTCTAAACCCCCCAAACTCATCCCCAAGCTCCGAATCCCCGAATCCCCGAATTCCCTCATCCCCAGGCTCCTCATCCGACAGCGCACTTGCCTGCGACTGCTTGGCGCGCTTCCGCGCCATGAGCTTCGGCAGCGTGAAAGGGCTCCAGGAGCCTCGGGAGGATCTCCAAAATCTGGCCGACGGCTTTAGGGTTTAAGGTTTAGGGTTTAGGGTTTAGGGTTTAGGGTTTAGGGTTTGTTGCACAGCTTAC